TAGCGCGCCTTCCGTGAGCTGTCGAAGGGTTAATATCGGCTGTATACCCCCGCTTCCGGGTGTAGAAGGGCTCCCAGACTGGTTCCGAGGCATCGCCGGTGGCGTACCCGGTAGAGCTGTGGGGCTGTTCACCCCACAAGCCTGTTGGCCCACCCTACGTCTCTGACGATTCATGTAGCAGCAGCTCGACCTATACCGGCCGTTTGTCCATGCATTCGAAACCTGACCAGAGTTACAAAAACAACATGTTACTCTTGAACGTACAGCTAAGCCAGGCGCACGCTTATTCGTGGGGTGGGATCTTCGGTGCCTCTTCTAACCCATGCATAAGATCTGATCCTCTTTACGGGCGCGCCTATGCACCTGAGAACGCAACGGACTGAAGCCTGTTCAAACACGAAGTTTATATACCTGACCATGTGATGCCGCGGCGTTTAAGTCTTTATGCACGGACTGGAGTGTCTGCAGCTAAAATCCCCGAGTCATGTTCGGCTCGTACTTTTATATATTAGTATATTGGCAAAGCACCGAGAGTAATAATTGAACTCGAAGAAATCGTACTTGCCCTCTTGAAGCCCAGTTTGACTGAAACTCGTAATGATTGGCTGACCCTAAGCTGGAATTACTGCATCGAGCATTTCCATCGTATCTTGGGTGTGAATCGTGTATGCAATGGATGGATGTACATGCGCAACGTGGAAGAGGGCTGAGTTCGGACCCAAGGCGTGGACTCTCCTGAAATTTGAATTTTGGACACACCATGCTTATCCCCTGCCGCACTAAATCGCCTCAAACCTTTTGCATTAGGTGCCAACATAACCTAGGTATATGGCGGAAGCATAGTTAGGCTGAAATACAACTACCTCGCGCAGAGGTCGGGTTGCGTGTGAAGCTCGCTCCCTGATTTTGGAGCTGCTGCATGGTCGTACGCTCTAGCTAAAGTCCAACTTTTTCACCCTACCGTGAGCAACTGGACATATAAAACATACCCTGGTGTGCCCTGGTATCTTATTTNACCTAGGTATATGGCGGCAGCATAGTTAGGCTGCAATACAACTACCTCGCGCAGAGGTCGGGTCGCGTGTGAAGCTCGCTCCCTGATTTTGGAGCTGCTGCATGGTCGTACGCTCTAGCTAAAGTCCAACTTTTTCACCCTACCGTGAGCAACTGGACATATAAAACATACCCTGGTGTGCCCCTGGTATCTTATTTACATACCTTTTCTTAAATCTGGACAGTTTATGCCCTCGTTCGCCCTCAAGAGCCGGTGCTAGGTGTGCAGGTCTGTTGCCAAGCGAGCCGCCTGATCATAGGGGTTTCCACAAGGGGCTGCTTTCCCGTTGGAAGCGTTATTCAGCGTACTTACTTTTTTTTTTTTCTGTTGTGCAGCACTGAACAAGAGGGAGCGGACGAGCGGACAGCAGTTATTATTATTCCTGATTCCAACCAGATCCATACATATGAACATACACCGGTCGCCCCGGTTGTCTAGTGGGTAGCCTCGCAGCCTGCTAAGGGCCAGGTCGTGGGTTCGAGTCCGGACAGAGTGAGTTTTTCTCGCTATTTAAATCCTGGTCTCCGTTGGAACCGACGCGCTGATCGACTCCATTATTCGCGAGGGAAGGGATTGCTGTATCTACCCTTCTTCTCGCGATTAAAATATCTCAGGCAGGAACCGCAGAAGGGGGTCCAACCCCCCCCCTCCTTTGTGACCCCGGTTGGGTCGTCTAGCTGGTAGAAGTGGAGGATAGGGACCAGAGGGAGTCCAATGATGGGAACAAAAAAAAAACATGACACGAAAGTTAAAGTTGTACAATGTGAAGACGCACCTACTTGAGCCCGATGAACCACGCCTGGCTTGCTGTGTCCATGTCCTTCCAAGGCAATCATGTTTGCCTACTGCCGTCATGCACAACGACGAAGCGGGGGTGGTGGTGGTGCGCGCGCCGTCGGACCAATCCATCCGTCGCCACAAACAACATGAAATCGCCAGACCAAAAAGCAACAGCAGTGAGTGTCGTCGCCGCCCGCAAACAATCCATATCATAATATTTAGTCTAACTAATTGCAGATTTTTGCCCCTCATGAAAGTAGTCGGTATTTTCAAATCATGATCAAGGAATGTAGACAAATACGCGTATTTGTTCGCTTGTTGTCAATAATGTCTTGATTGTATGTGTGTGTCGTTGTTGCATGCCTTTGTCACCAAAAAAAAAGAACAGTGTGGAGATCCCCGCCGACGTTCCGACGTTTTGTCTGCCTGTCGAGGACGACTCCCCCTTTCACATTGGCCATTGGTTTCGACTAAGATATGTATGTGTGTAGTCTATGTGTAATTTTGGTGAGCAAGCTTCATCCATGAAAACAAACAATCTGTGCTACCCAACAACAACCACCTCCTAGTCTAACCCCCCCCTCCCCCCCATAACTTCCCTCCCAACCCAACCTCGATACGGACACGCACGAGCTCCTCCGAGTGAATCCTGGGGGCGGTGGGGAAACAAGCCGTTCGTTCGACTTGGCGACCTCGTGGCCTCCTTTCTGCGCAGGACTTGGGAGTCGGAGTCGGACTCGTGCGGTCGACCAATGTCAATAATGGTGGCGATGGTCACGACCTGTCTGACCACAAAGAGAGACGACAAGCATGTACTCACGTGAAGCTTTTTCTTCCATGGCGATGAACGGTCACAGTAAACCAAGGCCGCCTTGGCGAGAGAGGCGAAGGGCGTCGACAGAGCAACAGTCACCTTTTCATGGGGCATTCCACAACATACAGCTCTACCGTTTCGTGGGGGCATTCCACACATGTTCACCGTTGCACGAAGTATTTCACAGTCTACGCCTCAATTTTCCTCTGTCGGCTGGCGTCGCTCAGTCTGGTGGGGAACAGATCAACATCATCAGTGCTGTTGTTCCCTTGCGGAATACGTACAGTACAAACACGATCAACCATCAAGAATGATTGGTGATGATGCCGTACACAGCAGCAGCCCGTACTTGCACCACCAATCACGGAGCGAAGCCGGGGAAAGGATGACGGCAGCATTAGGCATGGACCTGGCGAATCTCGCGATGAACAAAGCACGCGCCTCATTCCAACCGTGTACGTACGTTGTGTATGTGTTTGAACAAAAATAAACTTGAGGCTTTGCCCCGTGAACGCAAAAAAAGCAACCGGCCGGGTGGAGGAGTCGACTCCATTCCATCACCAACGATATCGCCTAGTCCCCAACAATGCTAGATGCTACGCCCTGTTCCCTCCAAAATACCAGCTCGTCAGCTATGCTACAACCATTGAGCAAAAGAAACAACGTTTGAAAAAAATCGATCCGGCACCACCGCGGTGGGACGCTGGATTACGGCTCACCGCAGCCACACAAAATTGATAATCGGACGGCACGACGGCCCATGATGTTGTCGCAACTACAAACCAACCAACCCACATCAGATCCGTCCGTAGCAAATACAGTGGCGGAGCTCACGAGACAGAACCCGAAACAGTGCTCCAATAAACACGCAATGAGCCACGAGGATCGATGGCCCCAAGGTAGCCAAGCAATGTGTGCATGTAGATGATCGTCCAACCATGGACGCAAAACTGACAAGGGCATCATCACGATGTGCCAGCAACACGTTGCGCTTTTCGCGACTACTCTCAGCATGAACACGAGGGACAGCGGTCGTCGGGAAATTGTCAAATAGCTTCCCCTTCAGCGGCGGCCACTCGTGGCCGCGGCCTCCCCTTTCCTGGCATCATAACCGCTCCCTGCACTACACAAAAATCGGGTGGGCGGGCGGATATTACCGCCCTTCGTCTCGCTCCGGGCGAGCAGACTCAACACACCACGGCCAAAATAGGGGCAGGTGCACCTTGGAAAGTTTCACAATTCCTGAAACCTCATCGGTCAATTGGCGCAGTAGCAGAAACCCGCCCCCACACCCAGACAAATGATGGCAGTCAAATACACGGCTGCACGCTCTGCATGTAGTTTCACTACCCACCTTTCATCGACTCTCGGCAGCTAAAACATCGTGCTGAGCACTCTGCTCACTCTTGACAACCGCTGCAGGACACAGGCGCGACCAAATTTCCCAGCCGGTATACCTTGCGATCCTCTCCTTGACCTCCTGTAGCTAGAACCTCCGATACTCATTATTATCACCCACTACTCCGACGGGTGACTTGTCCACAATGCTTCCCACTTTCCACACGGCGCCACGCGTCTTGCGCCAGCAGCAGCGACGGCCACTCGTGGCCGCGCCCTCCCTCCCTTTCCTGGCACCATATATTTCCCCACACTACACAAAGCCGGGTGATCTCGGCGCACACACCTGCGGTACAGAGTGCTATCAACGCAACGGCCACTGCAGAGTGATACCAACGCGACCGATACCTTACAATGTGGTGCCAATGCTGCCAAATAGACTCCACTCAGGCCGGTCGCTGCCCTTGGCTGAAAGCCCCGGTCTGCACCCCGTTGAAACAGAGCGCTCGCCGGGGGTGCCGTGGTGGGAGGCGAGCAACTCTCACCCGCTGGCGCGAAACAGCTGCGAAAACCCGAAGCCCAAGCTGTTGCTACTGTTGTTCGTGGCGAGGCCTGATTGGTTCATGCTCCCGTTGTGTCGCGCCGCTAGCCGTGTCGGTGCTGATGCTGACGCCGCCGCCGCCGCCGCCGCCGCTGCTGCTGCTGCAGACCGCCCGGCTGGAGCCCCTTCGCCGAGCCCTTCTTTCTGTCCCTCGTCCCTCTCCTCTTGTTGCCCGTGCCGCCGCTGCTGCTGCTGCACACCGCCTGCCCCCCCTTTGCCGGAGGAGGGGAGCAGCGGCGGCTCCCAAGATGGTGCCATCACGGCGGCTGTTGTCGTTGCTGCTGCCGTTGCTGCTGGTGACGATGATGATTCTAATGTCGCCGGAGGATGTTCTACAACACCATCGGCAGCGGCGGGTGACGCCCGACCGGACTCGGCTTCCTCCTTGTCCAGCCGCGAAATCTCCGCCTGCACCAGCACAAGCCTTCTTTTGATCTCCGACTGCTGCTCCTCGTTCGTTTGCTCCATTTCCGCGGCATCCGAGGAGTCGTGCGGCGCAAAAGGTGACGCTTCGGCGGTTGGCGGCGCGGCTTCTTCGGCCGATGCCACCTGCTGGGCTGACGGTGCCGGTTGCTGCTGCGCTGGCTGCATGACTACCGTTGCTTTCCCTCCGGGTGTCGCCTGCACCGCCGCAGCGGCCCTCGCCTCGCTTGCCGCCTGCCCCGCCGCCCGCGCTTGCACCACCCTGGCCGCCTGCATCGCTCCGATGGACCACGAGAGACCCGACACGGTCGCCACCTGCGCTGCCTGCGACAGCTGCGCGGACGGTGACAGCCGCGCCGCTTGGTGCTGGGGCCCCCCGGATTCAGAATCTCCGATTGCTGCTGCTGCTGCTGCTGCTGCTGCTGCTCCCTGTGTCCCTTTCGCCCGCGCGCCCCCCGCGTCGGCCGTAGCCGTCGTGCCTGTCCCTGCGGCTTCGTTCCCACTCTGCTCTTTGTGCGCGAGCAGACTCAACCTGTCCGATGTGTTCTCGGCCCTCGCTTGGGCCGCCAACTGAGGAGGAGGGGGGGGGGGGGGGGGGGG